CCCCTGTGCCCCCCTGTGCCCCCCTGTGTCCCCTGTGCCCCCCTGTGTCCCCTGTGCTCCTCCTGTGCCCTGCAGTGAGGGGTGAGCAGACAGCCGGGCCGCAGCTCTGCTCCTTCCCCGTGAGGAAGATGATTTCTTCCTCAGCCCTGCGTGCCGAGGTTTTTCCAGCCGGATCTCGGGGTGCAGAGCCGAGCCCTCATGCCCGGCCACCACACACGAGCAGGGAGCTCCAGGCCGGGAAATCGCTCCTGCTTGGGCTCAGTGCTGGGAAGTGCCCAAATTCCCACGGCTCTGTCAGGGGGTATCAGTGCAAGGGTGGATCTCTCATCATTCCCAAAGCCTGCACCACCCCCTGTCCCTCTCCCTTCCCGTGTGGCTGGAGTGGAAATCCCGGGAGCGCTGGCTGGGGACCCTGGCCACCGTCACAGAGCTCCTGACCCAGCCCAGAGCAGGGACTGGGGCACCCAGGAGTAACACCCATGTCCCCAAATCCAGCCCTGGTACCCCTGCTTTGGGACAAGAGGGCTCTGCCCCCTCCCACGTTCCTCTCCCGGGAATTGGCCCATTCCCAGCGGCTCGTGGTGCGTCTCTCAGAGCTGATATCCATCTTTGGGTTCCACTTTCTCCTGCACCACCACCCCCTCGGCTCCCCACGCTCCAGCCCCACATCAGAGCCGGCAGCACCCGGAGCTTTTCCCACAGCACAGCCTGGCTGTGTCCCCCCAGCCCAGCCCAGCACAGGGGGGCAGCTGCACTCCTGCCAGCTGCCCCCAAAGAACCAGCTCCAGGCTCTGGGAAGCCTGGCTGGGGGGCAGGATTTGAACTAAATCCCCTAAAAGCAGCAGCAGCAGGGTGTGAATTCCCACAGAGCACCTCTGGCACCCCGATAGCTGCAGGGCATCAGCTGCTCCCCAAAAAACACAGCCCACGAGAGGCTGTGGCACACATCCCACCCCAAAGCCATCCCGGAGCTGCAGGGATGAGGCTCAGCCGTGACTAAGGGATACCACGGTAGCTGGAAAGCCTAAACACCCCAAAATTCGACTTGGCAAAGATCCTGTGGCGCTGTGCCAGGGTTTCCAGTGTGAAATTCCGAGGGGACCACCCCACGGAGCTGGGCACACGCCCTGGCAGCAGCACTGCCACCCACGCCAGGGCCGTTCTGCACCAGCTGCCACAGGGATTTGTAAATAAAACCCTGAACTCCCTTTGTGCGGCAGGACAGGAGCTCAGGAGCGCCGAGCTGCCAAAACACACCTCCTCCAGGTGAAGAACGCCCGGGTGAAGCATCTCAGCTACACCCAGAGGTACAAACAGAGGCGGGGAAGGGCAGGAGGCAGAGCCGGGGGCTCTCCCCTCCCCGCAGGCTGCCGGGGACCCGGGAGGAGGAGCTGCTGCTCGCGGCTGACTCACAGTATCGCTCTGGGAGAAGAACTATAGGAGCTATTGTGGGCCCTTCCCTTCCACACCCTGCCCACAACAGGCGAACAGGTTGTTCCACATCCCTCCCATCCCCGCTGGCAGCACGGGAGCCACTGCCCCTCCAGAGGGGGAAGCGGTGGGAAGCCAGCTCTCAGGGGGTTGCTTTGCAGTTGTCAGAGGCTCAAGGGTTATTTTTTGACTCCCCTCTAAAACAGGATATGGGCCATTTCTAATAAAAATACCAAATGCATTAATCAATGAACGTGTGCAGGGCTGGAGCAGCCCAGGCTGTCCTGCAAGGGCAGCAGGAGATGGTGGCCAGGGCCCAGGGGACCCTCTCCCACCAGCAGCTTCTGGGCTCAGGACTTGGGCACATCCCCTAAAACCCAGCCAGCAATAACCCAGCTCACACAGCAGAGCGGTGCTGAAGCTCTCGGGCAGACAGATTTAAGGCAAACCCCAGTGTGGGCTGAGGTGGCACCTGGCAGTTTAATGGTGGGCTGGGGTCATGGCAGGGCTCTCTGATCCTGAGGGCTTTTCCAGCCTCAACAATCCCACTGAAAACTTCTGCAACTTCTTTTGCTTTTCCCTCCGAGCAGCAGAGTCTGCCCCAGGCTCGCAGCCCCAGCCCAGAGCAGCTCCCCAGGGCCGGGGAGCTCTCCCAGCCCAGCCGAGGCCCCGTGAGGCGCTGCTGAGATCCGTGTGCAGTGGGAAGGAGACGAGTGTGGGGAAACAATCAGCTTCTCCACGCTGACTCATCCCTTTCCTCTCCCTCCACAAGGGTTTCACTTCTGCCAGCCCCGGAGGACTGGGCGATGTGCTGATAATTCATCAGCGGCTCGTCAGCGCTGCTCCAGCCCCGCCTGGCACGGCTGAAGGCATCTTTTATTTCTTTTCATTTATTTATTTATCGAGAGACCAGGTCAAGGGAAAAGCAGAAGCTTCCCAAGGCACCCTGGGGCTTGGGTTCCCAGCTCCTGGTACCTGGCTCCAGGGCTGGCCAGTTGTCATTGTTCCTTTCAGCAGGGATCACCATCGGAGACTGGGATATTCCCTGTCCCCCCCGAGCCCTGGATGGGGCCCAGTCCTGGATGTGCAGCAGGATGCACAGCCCAGTGAGCCCCAGTGCAGTGGCAGGAGCCATACTGGTGGCACTGGTTCATTAAACAGCCCTCAGTGCCCAGCCTGGCCCCCAGACCCGATCCCTCTGCCACGCTGGCAGCTCCAGACGGGCAGCAAACACCTCCAGCACCTGGAGCTGGCCACACAAAACCCCTCCTCGAACGTGCCACGCTCCCCCCAGTGCTGATGGACGCAGGAACCAGCCCGTGGACACACACAGGGCCCCTCCATTCCCCCAGAAGGAGGGAGCGTCCCTGCAGGATCCTTCCCAGGCACACGGCAGGTGGGAATCCTGGAAGCTGTCACCATCGCCGGGGAAGGTGACACCCAGACGTTTCACACATCTGCCACACGCTGGGAGCCCCAGCCAGGCCACATGCTCCTCACAGATGCTCATTCACAGCCCTCCGCCACCACCACGAACACAGGCTGGGGAGAAGGAGCCCCGGCCGCCTGCTCCTCGTGGCAGGGATGGAGGCAGCGGAAAAGCCCCGTCCTGAGGCAGCAGAAGGCTTTGAGAGGATTGTCTCGTGTCTCTGCACCCTCGGCAAGCCCACTCCCGCAGCCTCCTTCCTTCCACCAGCACAAAGCCGGCACCCACAAGGCGTCAGCGAATTGCTAAGGCCGAATTTAAAGGATCGCCACAAAGATCTCGGCTCGCAGGCAGGAGCTCACCCCCACAGCAGGGACACTGCCACAAATCACAGGAAAATATTTCCTGGGGGTCTGTGTGTGGCCTGAGCAGTTCCCAGTGGGCAGCAGCAGCTCCAGCAGTCCCCGATCCCCCTCGGGGCTCCACATCGTGGGATCCGTGCCCGCACCTCGCTGCTGCAGGAGGCACCTGCCCAAAGCAACCACAAAGCCATGAACAGATCCAGCCCTGTTCCCACAGGATCTGCTGCAGCACAAAGCCTCGGGATCACCGGCAGCTGGGACAGGCCCCAGAGCTGCAGGGGAGAGAGTCTGAACCCAGGGATGCCCCTGGATCCCTGGAAGTGTCCAAGATCCGGGCTTGGAGCAGGCTGGGACAGTGGGAGGTGTGGAACTGGCTGAGGTGTAAAATCTCATCCAAGCCATGAAGGTGCCACATCCTGATTTTATTGTGGAAATAAAAATGATGTGCCAGGGGCTCCTTTCAGCTCAACAACATTTGAGTAATTACTGCCCTTTCACAGCCTGGAGTGGCACCCAGAGCAGCTTCAGGGAGCTCCCAGAAACAAGTGCTGGGCAAAATCCAGCTGCAGCCCTGGAGGTGCTGCTGCCCCAGCCTCCCGGGGGAAATGACTGCAGCTCTGCTCACCAGGAGAAGAAAACCCCTTTCCTTGACTTTGTCACGGCCCAGTTTTCAAGAAGGACAAAAGAAACGACATTTTGAGCAGCATCCAAGGGACCCAGGCAGGAGCTGGACAGGGGCCAAAGTCACCTGAGGACTCATGCATGAGGCTGGAGCCTCTTGGAAGGGGCTACAAACCATCCCTGTTCCCCTCAGAGCAGCTTATCTTCCCTAAAGGCACTGCCACAAGCACCGAGGGGGTGAGGAACAGCCCCAGGAGCCTCTCTCAAGGGCACCTGTGGGCACAGACCTGATCCCAAATGCCAGCAGGGAATGCACAGAGCAAAGCGACCCTTGTGCTGCTCTGGGACAGTGCCAGCTCCACCCTGAGGAGCTCAGAGCACCTCTGGGGTTAAGAACACCCCAAAGCCCCGTTCTGCACCCCCCAAACCTCGGCAGTGGGGTTCAGACAGGCCCCACCGGGCACTTGCACCTGAAAACTCAGCCCCCAGAGCCGATTACAGCTCGGGTGCATTGTTATCCTTATTATCGCCACTTTTCCATTCCCACGCGGGATTATCCCGTCTGCACACACTTCCTAAAATCTGATGGGGAATTTAGGAAAAATGCACAGTGCTTAAGCACGGGCAGGCAGGAGCTGAGCCCAGAGCAGCGCTCCAGAGGGCTCCGTGTCCCACGAGACAAACCTGCAGCATCACAGGGCTGGGCTGGGACACCAGCAAGGACACCAGGACAGCAAAGAGAGGGTTCGGGGGAAAACATTTATCCCAGATTTTTGTCCATGGGGGCAGGGAACATGAGCTGCAGTTCCACAGCATCCCACGGTCCTGACTGCCATCTTGAAGCAGTTTTCCCTACAAACTCATGGAAGAAAATCCCACCCCGGGAGGGAGCTGGGGGGCACAACATTCATGGAAGCAGCATTGGGAGGATTCCTGTTGGCTGCTCTAAAATGAATTCCCCTGGATCCCTGGCAGTGCCCAGGGCCAGGCTGGACGGGGCTCGGAGCAGCCTGGGACAGTGGGAGATGTCCCTGCCACGGCTGGGGTGGCTCTGGGTGGCTTTAGGGTCCCTTCCAGCCCAAACCAGTCTGTGATCCTATGAAATAACCCCGAGCCCCTTCCCGGCACTGTCGGCATTCCCAGCCCAGGGAGCGATAAGGCAAAAGGTGTTCCCAGGAAAAGCTGCACCTTGGGCAGCCCCGACCCAGAGGAGTTGTCAGCCCCTGTTTGCACATCTGCTGGGTGGGGGCTGTGTCCCAGCTGTTATCAGCTCCACTGAGCTGCAGCCAGAAATTTTATCTCAACTTTCTCCTGCCCGGAGCAGCTGCCACAGCAAATATCAGCAGGATCAGCAGAGCACGAGGCTGAGGAGCCTCCCTGGGATGTGTCCACACCAGGAGGGGAAGGAGCACTGATTTGGAAACCTTTTCAACCCCAAAATACTCGAGCCACACACAGCTCCACACAAGGACATCAAAACCTTGTCCTTTGGCGAGGAACCGAGGCCAGAAGTCCCCAGATCCATGTCTGAAGTGGGGGTCCCCAAGCTCCTGCCCTCTGCTCAGGCTGCCCCAAAGGTCCCTTGCAGGAGGCAGAGCTGGGGAGTCCCTGAGCCCCAGAGAGGCAGCGGCAGCTCCCTCCCAGCCCTCGCAGCACACAGAGCTCTTTGTTTTATTTATTAAACACGAGCAGATTGCTGCAGGCAGCTTTAATCCACGACTCGGTTTCCATAGACACTTACTGCTTTCCCAGCACAATTCCGAGGCAGCAGCAGGGCTGGGGGGAGCGGGGTCTGACACCAAACCCAGAGCCCAGGGGCTGCTCCCCGACTCCTTCAGCCTTTAGAGTCGTTCCAGCTCAACCTCTCTGTTAATTGCCTGCCCCGGAGAGATGCTTTAATGAGCACTTTGCCATCGCCGCTGAGCCAGAGCTGCGGGAGGGATGGAGGGGGAGGAGGAGGAGGAGGAGGAGGAGGAGGAGGAGGAG